GCAATGGTTGGGGCTTGCGGTACTGAAGTGGACAGCTGTTGTTGCAGGCCACCATCTACTGGACGGTCCCCTTGAGCCATTGCGGGCGGGAGCAACTACAAAATCCGCGATAAAAGTGTCGACCGGGAGGCGCTGAAGTTGCCTTTTGGACAGTAAAGTGAATGAGTCTTGCTTGCTGCTACGTGGCCTTCATTTTTCTCCTAGGTTGCAGACTAGTTTTCAGGTTCCTGTGTGCCCTGCGGGGTGTACGCAGGATCCCATTAAGGAAAATACGGATGGATTAGGCTATTAAACCCGAATCTCCCGGGAACTCCTTCAAATTCTTATACACTCGAAATCGATATTACGGAACAATCAGAGCAGGGAACGGCGAACTGCTTGAGGCAGTCACTCTTCGACCCCCCGCCCGCGCTTCCGGCTCTCGGTGGACCCACTGGGTGTATTGGGCATTCTTGTGCCCTTGCCATCCCACTGCATCAAACGTCGTTGATTAAACTTTACTCACAAAGCCTTCAGTAAATACTGTATTTTTGTGACGCACCCTAACGGGAGCATCTCTCGAGACAGTTCCCCGGGACCAATTTCCGCATCGATTTCCAACGGCACAGCGAGCGGTGGCAACAGCGGTGTGGAATGTAAGACAAGCAACAACACAGCAGCTAGCACTGTACAGCAAGCTTTAAATACTTTTCCTTGTTTTTTTACATTCTACCTGTAACTGTGCGGGGTCATGAAAATTGTCGGATGCCCCTTTGCGCTCGACAGTGTCCCCATGGAGCGAGCGGTCCGCTGCACTGTGGGGCACAGCGAAGTGGAGCGCCGATGCGCTGACTTTCATGAAAGTGTTAAACGTGAGCTCTATCAATATCCTAAATACAGAGATTGAGCTAAAAATTATTTTGTGTAGGTCTTTCCCAGTACCGAAATATCCTACACCAGGTTGTCGTGGAGGAGCAACGCATAGTTCCATCCAGTGGACATAAATTGTAAATGACTTCGGGTTCTGCAGGGCATCTGCAGACTAGCTGGTGATGCAAATTAGGGAAGCTAATCAATATTTATATATATATTATATTTATATATGTGAATTCAACAGAAATAGATAACAATTCGTTCAATCGACCAACTTCTAATAAGAAACCCTGTGACATTGCAGGAATAGTCATAAAGCCATCAAACTATAGGACGGTCAGCCGTCGGTTGAATGAACAAAGCCGACAGTTGAGGACGAAATATAAACAAATGATTCAGACTGTCCTATTTTCCTGAAAATGTCTCGAAACACACAGGTTTAGTCTGTCTAGGGCGTAGCCGACGCCCCCCGCTCTCCTGACGCTCCTGCGAAGATTCCGTCCTCGGTATCCCGTCCCCAAGGTGCCAGTATCTCCGGTTTCCGTCTGCCAAGGTTTCGTTTTATAGCTCCCACTTAAGGGGCCTTGACTGTTCCGCCATAGGCGTCTGCCGTTACTGCGTTACTACTGTGTGAGAGAACCACGAAATAGCGTACTGTACTCTTACTCTCTTCACTTATACGGGTCATGCACTACAAAACAACTACACAACGAGAGTCAGAAGCCTTCAAAATATAAATATCCGAGGTAACATTAGTCGGACAGTGCTTTCTAAAGCTACAGCAGGAACGATAGTAGTGAACATTGCTCGCCATCAGTTCCTCGGCAGGTTCTGATTTTGTATAAGCTCCGGGAGGGTCCTGTAGCAACCAACCACCGCCCTGCTCCTCGATGCAGTAGCTAAGGGTGCCACGTAGTTAGATCATCGTCATCAACCACGGTCAAACAGCGTCATCACTAGTTCAGCAAATCTGTGAAAATCTGCGATGATCTCTCCTCTTTCTCGCAAAGACTGAAAAAGAGCTGCATCCCAAAACGGTTAGCAGGCAAGCAGCGCCAGTCCGAACCAACGCAGGCAAATGCCTTTATCTGTTTGATACTGCATGAAAAATAGGCATAGTTGCCTCGTTCTGCCTGTCTGGGGACTTCGCTGACGACAAACTGTACGTAGCTTGTGGGTGAGGCGCTATGCAGGAAAAAGACAGAAATGCAGAGGCTCATTTTGAAGCGCCACTAGGTGCTCGGAACACCATCAATACTCGCCGATGAGCCATATAAACAAACGGAATAGCACGCACACACAGGTTTGGCCATCTTTGGTAGCCGTTCACTCAGAGAACTCGCGGCATTTAGGCAAGCTGAAGCCCACTGCACGCATGGCGGCAAACCCTTAACTAAACGGGCTACTACTGAGATGGACTTGTCATGGTTCATTTGATTCTTGCCGATCGTTCGCATTAGAGAGAGCAGAACTTTCGACTTCATCAGCAGAACCAGAGAAGTCCTCATCGTCCTGCACCCACAACCTCCACAGCGGGTGAGATAACTGGCTGCCAGTGTACGCCGAGGCAAGAATGATCCNTCCTGCACCCACAACCTCCACAGCGGGTGAGATAACTGGCTGCCAGTGTACGCCGAGGCAAGAATGATCCTCTTCAGAGCAACTATTTCCTCGAGTGCCGGGCGTTTTGCTTGCTTGTATATTGCCAGTGCAGAACTAAGTCGATTAACCAGGTTGTTCAGCTTGTTTGCTCTCTCCGTTCTTGCTGGTTCAGGAAAGGAATAATCCGTGTCAAACTTCTGCGCAAACTGAGTCCACCAGGCCTCGGTATTCATCTTGCTCCCCAGGATCTCAATTGTGGATACTATATAGTCAAATGCCATAAACACAGAAGACAGTTTCCTAGCAATGTAGTTGGCTGCTTGTTTAGCGTTCCGCTTCGTGAGTTTGTGTACTGCATAGTTTGCCAATAGTTCGGCTTCCTTTATGAGTGCATTCACCTCCTCAGCAGTCAGCGAAGGCTTGGCAAATAAAATGCGCATTATCCTGTATGACTCCATCGGACTAAGGTTATTCAAGTCTAATGTGAGCGCAAACTCCTTACGGAAGCTTCTGTGGATGTCCTCCGGATTNGACTAAGGTTATTCAAGTCTAATGTGAGCGCAAACTCCTTACGGAAGCTTCTGTGGATGTCCTCCGGATTCACCGCTGGCAGCCGAACAAAAGGATGCTGACGAATGCCTGGTGCCCCACCTTTTCCTGCGCCTCCACGCCTTGCTGCCTTCACAGCCGGAGCAGACGCAGACCCCTTCACTGCATCCAAATTAACAACAACGGCTGGTGTCTGGTGTTCACGCTGTTGCGCTGCACTCATCTGAACGGTCGGCACCGCCCTACCCTTGCCAGCGGCTGCACCTGCAGTCATTGAGCCGATTTTACCTGCACCTTCACTGGGCGTTCCCACAGAACCTGCATCGATGGGAGCTGTCGAAGCTGCTTCCACCACTGGATTTCTCCATACAGTGCCCACTGCCACCTGCTGGGAAGTTTGTTGATAGATGTTTGCTAGAGGATCATCGAGCCAGCCCTCCGGAGTAAGAGCGGCTCCACCGCTTGTTGGTCTGCCAACAGAAAAGGGGGACAGCCAAGTAGTTGTACTTGCTACATAAACTTCTGATGGGTGTGTTTGAGGGAGGGATACGTCGTGCTGAAGCCTTGGCATTCTCTGCATTAGTGGGAGATGCTGTTGATCTCCGCCACCTCCAAAGGCTAGCCCATAATCCGTCGTCGCCCATGCCCCTGTTTCTAAAGCGCTGACTTCGCTGCGCATTGCTACTTGACTAGGGTGTGGCCAAAATGGGCCAGAAGGCGTNTTTCTAAAGCGCTGACTTCGCTGCGCATTGCTACTTGACTAGGGTGTGGCCAAAATGGGCCAGAAGGCGTTTGCGGGTGCGATATGGACGCCCCCAACCCATGAAACCGAGGAATCTTAAGTGGAGGAAACTGAACTTCACCCTGCAACCTCTGTGAAGAAACTGCCCGCATCCGTTCAAAAGACGCTGCAGATGCGTACAGCATGTCGACGAGTCTAGCTTTTACTTCGTTCGACTCATCCACACGCTCTGAAGCAGCTAGCGGATGGCCAAGTTCCTCTTCCAAATCCAGGCATTGCTCTAGAATATCAGAACGCTCCCTATCATCATCTGTATCTGAAAGCCTCCGTCGCATTGCTTCTCGAGAATTGAGTCTACGTTGATTGGTCCGGCACAAAGCCAACAACGACAAGACCGTCACTAACGAAACAATGGATGCCACAACCCCAACTAAGAATATGCCGCGGCGGGGCCATCGTTGCTGTATCTCGGATCCGCGCCTAGCGGCAAACTTGTGTGAGTATGGTGATGGCAAAGGGGAATCGCTTTGAAATGTAGCGTTTGTTGTGTGCGATGCTAATATGGCCAATGGTCGTTGCCGGTCCACATCTACTGGGTGGTGTCTTCCGGTCATGGTGGACGAGGGAAATTCGTCATTCCGCAAGAAAAAGTTTCGATAGGGTTGCAGAGGAGTTGCTCTTTGGTGACTCAAGAAGAGAAGTTTCGCTTGTCTCTCTACCCTGCCTCCAATTGCCGGGTACGCTTCACACCCGACTCTGCTCGATTCTGCATGTCTGTGGTGTTTATACGAAGAATAAAGGAGAATATACTTATTAAAACTGTAACTTTAGGCAAATAGTTCAAATAATTATTCATTCTTTATGGAT